CATGGATATCTATAGCAACTAACGGCATATTTTAATACTACAAACTAATTTAATTTATATTAGAGATTTTATGGCCGTTTTCTCACACACTAAAAAAAAGGCTGTACTTGTCATCGTGACCTCGTGTTGAATGTTTTTTCTACACATAATCCGTTTTAAACATTAATAAAATCTATAAATTTTGTAAATTTAAGCAACTGTGCAAAACCAATATTATAAAAAATTGTTTTTGGTAGAACGCGCTGTGCTCTCGTAAAACTATGCATTTTGACTTAGTGATTGATGTGTTTTGTTGAATAATTAAATCTTGTGCTTATTTTAACACTCGGGCGGGCGCGCTTTTGGGAATTACATGAGCGCGCGCCGCGGCATTTACACCGCATTTGGTTCTTTACGTTTCTGGCTTACATCTAACAAAAAAAAATATTTTGTGTAACATGCCTAATTAAATTTAAAAAACAATTTAAACAAATATATTTTTTAAATCGGGTGTTAATCCTTTACGTAAACTGTGTTTTAGCTTACACAATAATTCCCGTACACATGCATGTAAAATGCACATTACTTAATATTTAATATCAAGTTTTATTTATTACTAAATTTTTCATAAAATTGATAATTATGAAAAGTTTATTAATAAATAAAAATAACATGACTGGGCGCGCTGCAGCAAACACACCGCAAATTCGACTGTAACAACTGACCGGAAATGCCCCGGCCTCGGTGGTGTAGTGGTCAGAGCTCCTGGGTACGAGCCGAGAGGTCGTGGGTTCGAATCCCACTTGGGTATGATTGTTTATTTGTGTTTGTCCATTGTGTATAGTCCTTCGGAGGGGACTTTAAGCCGTCGGTCCGTTCCTACCCCTAACCCGCACAAGCCATTCAGTTGGCTTATGGGACATCTTAGTTTGGATGTAAGGGTGGAACTAAAAGAGCACTTTATAACTCTTTAAAGTGAAATAGCCTTTTGCACCAAGACTGATAGATACTACTGTAGGCGAAGCCAATAACATAAACAAGGAATACATAGACGCCAAATATTACAGAGCTGACCATAATATAAATATTATTTGAGTTTTAAGAGTAAAATGTAAATTTTGCGGCTTTTTGCCGCCGGCGCGCCCGCCGGAGGGTTAAACTTATAAAACCTTACCGACCGGAATTAAATAAAGAAAAAAACCACAAAATAAAAAAGTATTTGAATATTTAATAAGGTCTCACAAAAAAATTGTAAAAAAATCACCAAAGGTTTGCCTGGAGCAAAATATTAAATACAATAATATTAATTATTTTTAGTACTAAAAATAAATAATATATTTATAAATACTTCAAACCTATTTATTTCCTTTCTTGCAGTAGAGTTAAAATATGTTAGATGTGAGTTATTTTTCCTTAAAATCTAAGAATAATAAAGATAAAGATAAAGATAAAGATAAATTTATTCAGCAAAAATTACAAAATTAATAAACAATATAACAAATAAATTTTATTGAGTGCACCTGATTTCTCGGAGGAAATCGTGCTGTGCTTGATATTTTAATATATTTGTTTTTAAGGTATGTATAACAAAATAAATTACTTATAAATTATCTAACAAAAACATAGTAGTTATTTCTATAAAAAAGAAAACTTTATATAAAAAAAAATAAACATGATTTTAATTTGAAATTAAACATTGAAAAATTTATTACGTTATTCGTAACTATTAAATTATAATATAAATTAAATTTTATTATAGAAATTTAAATAAGAAGAAAAGAGCCATATCAATAATAATGGTTAATATTTAAGTATTAAGTATTATTAAGTATTTGTTTTATTAATTGTTCATTTTCACCTATAAAATTTTTTTAGTTTTTTACAAAATAAACCAAATGAGTTCAGGGATCTGAGGTTCTGTGGCAAAATACTGAATATTTTTGGACCTTTAACAAGAATTGATTTTTCAAAAGATGTTGACGGTATCCTTTGAATTTTTAAAAATTCATGTCTAGTATTATATGTATGTTATACTATTTCTCTGAGTTCAGGATTTTTGTAAACAAATTTTGAAACATTTAAAGCATAGAGCTGGTCAAAGTTAAGTACTCCCATTTCCTTATAAATTTCTTCAGTTGGGGATCGACGTTTTTTTGATAATATCGTTTTAACTATCCATTTTTTTGTTGTTATTACATTTTTAAATTGAGATTCGTATGTGCCTCCCCAAATAATAATACCATAAGATATTATTGATACTACCAGTGACTTATAAGCAATTTTCATTATGTTAACCGGTACTATATCTCTGAGTCTGTAAAATGTTAATACTAATTTTTTTAGTTTGTTGTTTATAAAGTTGCTATGTTCATAAAATTTAAAAGAATTATTTATAATCATTCCGAGGTATTTTACGGACTCAGTTTTCTCAATTGTTCTTTCACAGAGGCAATTTATGTTTTCGTTGCATTTGGAATGAAATATTAAACTATTAAATTCAGGCTGAGTAGAGGAGCTATTTGTAAATGTTAAAAATTTAGTTTTTATAAAATTAAGACTAAGCAGGTTGTTATCTAGCCAGCGTTTTACTTGGTACAGTCCCTTTTCAGCGTCTTTTTTTACTTCATGCCAAGCATTACTATTAAAAATAAGTACTGTATCATCAGCATATGATATTATGTCCCCAAATATGGGCATTTCGAGCAGCTCATTGATGTATATTAAAAACAATTTGGGTCCTAAAACTGTGCCTTGTGGTACGCCATATTCAATTTCATTTGAATTACTTAAGATGTCCTTTACTTTGACAAAAGATTCTCGATTTGAGATATAGGTTTTAAATAATTTTAAGACTATTCCTCTAACGCCATAAACTTCTAATTTTTCAAGTAATAATGAGTGACAGATACTATCGAATGCTTTTGCCAAATCTAAAAATATAGCTATAATTTTCTTCTTTTTGTTTAATAATGTTTGAATTTTTTTTGTAAAACTGAATAAAGCGTCTTCTGTGGAGCATTTGCTTTTGCGACAATAAATTATTTTTTTCAATGTGCTCATCTAACCTGCTTGCTATGCATTTTTCAAAAATTTTCTATAGTTTGATGGATTAGACTTGGTGCCATTTTTAAATATTGGTGTAATTATTGCCTGTTTTAGTCTGTCTGTAAATGTTCCATTAATAAATGTTAGATTTATGATATGAACAAGAATATCCGTTATCCATTCTTTTGTTATTTTAATAGTTTTTGTGTTTATTTTGTCTATTCCAGGTGCTGTATTATTTTTTAATTTTATTATTATTTTTAAAATTTCTTCCTTACTAACCGGTTTTAAGAACATTGATTTTTTATATTAATATTAGGTCTCGAAATTTGACCTATTTCGGAAAAATAAGTATTTTTTATGTTTTTTGCGATGTTTTCGCCGACTTTTGCAAAATAGTTAATAAAAACATTAGCGACTTCAGCTGGTTCCAATGTACGATCACCTTTGATAAGTTCAATGACATCAGTTTTATTGTTATTGTTTTTTTATTTTCCAAATTTGTTTTGTATTATTTTTACTTTGATTAATTTTATTTTCGTAATTTTGTTTTGATTGTTTTAGTAGTTTGGTTAAAAAGTTTCTGTACCTTTTATATAATATAGAACTTTTAAATGAGTATACTCATTTAAAAGTTCTATATTATTTTTTTCTTTTAGCAAACGTCGTTTTAATTTGTCCCGAGTTTTTATTGATTTTATTAGTCCCTCTGTTATCCACGGTTTTAATTTATTATAGTTTTTTTTATTTTTGTACGCAGTACAGGTATTTATATAGTAATTATATTTGTTTATAAATAGTTCAAAGGCTCTGTTTGAGTCGTTTTCCCTATAAATAATCTCCCAATTCTCATTTTCTAGCATTGCATTTAATTTTTTGTATTTTATAAGTTTTAACTGTTTGAACTCAAATTTAGGTGTTTTAATTTTAAAATTGTTTGAAATATTAATTAAAATATTGTAATGGTCCGTAATATGTGATCTATGAATAATAGGGGTTATATTAGTATTTTTAAGTTTGTCATTTATTTTTATAAAAGCATGATCGATGCAACTTTCATTTTCGGGGGTTTTTCTGGTTGATCGATTAATATATGAAATATATCCGTTTGCGCTTAAAGTATTTATATATGTGTTTGTTATGTTATTTTCTGATTTAATATCGATATTTATATCTCCAATGAAAACATTTAAATCACCAATGCTATTGATTTGTAAGAAAGGTGTAAGATCATCTATAAACAAATCAGGATCAGTAGATGGAAGCCTATAAAGAGCAGAAATATTATACTTGACATCATCAATTGAAAAATCAATTCTGGAAACAGTTACTTTAGAACTTTGCAGCCTAAAATGACTTATTAATGGTTTAATATTGTTATTTACAAAGAAAACTAGCCCATCATTTTGATTTCATCTCGATTCGTTATAATATGGTGTAAAATTGTTTATATTATATTGTGAAACCTGAGGTTTCAAACCTCATTAATATTCCATGTAACATGGACCATGTTTCCCCAAAAATAATTACATCACAATTAAATTGTAACGATTCCAGATATACCAATACTTCATCAAAGTTTTTATTTATACTACGTATATTAAAGTGAATTATATTTAGTCCATTTTTTATTCTTTGCAAATTTATGTCGCTCAAATCCCTAAACTCATCAATTTTATAGGTTTCTATGTTATTATAGCTATCTAATTCTTTTAAAATTTCCGCCATAATTACAAAATAAACTATTATAACAACTTACAAAAATATCCAAAAAGAAAAATACAATATTAAAGTATATACCTAGTCCTATTTTCTTAAAATCAAATAAATACAAAATATATTAAGTATGTATAAACATTTCTTCTCTTTCCGTTTAAAGATTATCAGTTATAAAAGAAAATTTTTGTTTACTCTGTGTTATTCAAAAATTCTAAGCTTTTTAATTCGGTTTTTTTATTATTTATAGAAGTAAATACCTTGCCATTTAAACTCCAAACATTCTTGTATCCAAATTTTTCAGAAGCGGCCGTTAATATTTCCATTTTATTCTTCGTTAAGTCTTCTTTGATGTGGATCTTGGTACCCTTTAATTTTTTCCTATTTTTTATTATTTCCACTTTGTCTGCATAGTTCTTTAGTTTTACAAATACTGATCTGGGTTTATTATTACTTAAGTTTCCTACTCTGTAGCATTCCTTAATTTCCGTATTTTCCAGATCCATGTTTGAAAATGTTTTATTTAATTCATTTTTTAGTATTTCCTGTGGATTTTCCTCTAAACCAAAGATTCGAACATTTTTCCTACGGGAATATTGTTTAAGTGAATCTATTCTAGTTTCTAGTACTTGAATTGTTTTTTCGTATTTTTGTTTAATTTCACTCAGTGTTTTGTCAAGTATTTTTTCTAACGTTTCGCTGACCTTCGATATTAATTTGTCGGTAAATGATTTGCCATCAATCACTTCTAATAATGCCTTTTCTATACTTGGATTAATGTCTTTGAACAGTTTTACATATTTAAAAAGGATTTTAAAAAAAATTTCAAGCGTATACAGTGTCACCTAATAAATTGTCATCCTTTGGGGGGATTTTTTTGACTAAACCAGGGAGCCACTGGATGTCACTTACTTTTCATATATATCATCATTGTTTTTACCTCTAAAAACAATGATATTATTTATCCAAGCAAAAAAGAAACGTGGGCGACATTCATTAAAAACTTAGAAATATGGAATATCAAGCAAACTTTTAAACTTATTCAAAATCGGTTAGTAGGTACTTTGTAATCATTGATAACTGACAGTTCGGTTATTATGATTTTGTGAAACACTTAAAAAAATAGCTACATGAGCATCAATCGACGTTAAAAGTGAAAGGTGAAATTTAAAATCGACGGGAAAACCACGGAAATCTCGAGGTACCTAACAATAAAAAATAATTAATGTTTTATTCAAACTACCTAAAAATATCTAAGTATGCAAAACAAAAAACAATTGTCAACAAATGATAACATAAATGTATATTTTTAAATAATGTAGACTATTACACACCAGTGGCAGCCCAAAATTTCTACTTTACGTATAAAAATTTAATTGATTTTTTTATTAAAAAAAATTGCACTTATGCAAAAATAAGAGGAAAAACTTTCTTAATTTGGCGTGTACTATCCCCTTAAAGGATGACAGCTTATTTGGTCAAAAATTAAGCTTAAAAATATCCAATGTATTGATACATTTGACGTGGTTTGACTCATAGGTACTGTTTTTTTCAAACATTTAATTGAAATATTTCCTTAAGATTTAACATCATTTTTAAGTTAGGTTTAACTGACATAATTTATGTATACATTCTACGCCTACCATTGCAGTAAAAATTTATAAAATGTACTCTTATTTTCTTGTTCCGACAGTAGGTATCGCATCACGGCGTTCTCTATAGATTTTATTGTGTCGCCGTGAGCAGCGCGGGCAGAGCACACGTCTCATGCTATTCGCGCTGCTTGCGGCGACAAACGCGATCCCACAAAAAATGCGATACCGACAGTCAGAGTAGGAATTCCATTTGTTATGTTACAGGAAAATAAGAAAGCAAAGTATATATATACAGCTCTTTCATACTAAAACCGAATATATCTATATATATATATATATATATGGGGCGTGGCCTCGCCTCCCTCCAACGCGCGACACAGTAGCTAAGCAAATAGACTGCATCGCTAATGAGATTTTTTGGATTTAATTTTTTAAGTCCTTACCTGCTCGACCTTTCGTCATGTCGTTTATTACACAAGCAACTGTGACGCGCCTTGGAGGGAGGCGAGGCCACGCCCCATATATATATATATAGATATATTCGGTTTTATTCTAAACAGGCTGTATATGTTATACCTGCAATGGCAGGCCTAGAAGGTATAAATAATTTAAATTGTTTAAATAATTGTGGTTAAAAATCAAGTTTTTTTTAAATATATATTTTTTTAATATTCATCATAAACATTTTTTATCTGTAAAATAATGCATCCAATAATTGGGAACGAGTAGTGAGTTATCAATTTTTCTTTTAAATGTTGAAAAATATATAGCTACTAAAATTGAAACAAACGGCGCGGAATTTTGAAAAATAATTTAAAGTGTTTTTTATTTTGTTATTATATACAGATTTTTATAATTTTACATCTACTGACTCGGCTATAATATGAGCTTTCTGGCCCATTTTTATTTGACAATTGACATGATTTGATCCAGTATTTATTTTGCATTACTTTTAGTAATATTTCCAGCTTGTCTATTATTTAATTAATATTTTATTACACATCAATTGTCAGTTGTTTAGTAAAGTAAATAAAAAATACTTACCTGTAATACAATAAATTTTAAAATAACCCTATAATAGAATTGATAAAGTATGTTTTATTACGTTTTTAGAATTATGTCACTTAGAAAACCAAAAAATAAGAGTATGCTGTTACAAACACTAAAATGTAAGTATTGAACATGAATTATAATTACAATTTTTATAAGTGTGTAGGAAAATTTAGGCATTTCTTCCAGATGATTATCATTTTAGAGTATTTAAATATATAACTTTATCTACTCTTATCGCATATTATTAGGGTTTTTTCTTTTATAATGATAACCATTATAACCACTTAGCTTAACAACGAAAAAAAGGAACTGATTATTTACGTTTTCAGGCTTAAGTGATTGGCCGAGTTTAATATTCACTGTGATTTGAACCAATCGGGTTTTTAGTTGGGAGAAGGCGACTGTAATAATATTTTAAATTTGAAGAAAGTCAGGTTAACCATCTGTCAGACGTTATATTTTATTTATTTATTTTTGAAAATCATTCGATTATCTACCTATTAGAGTAGATAAAGTATAGAATTACACTTGAGATCATGTGCATTATCTCTGGCATAATAATATACTATTACCTAGTTTAATTTTTATTATATACTTTATCCATTTTTTGTATTATACCTACGGAAATGGTTAAAACTGGCATGAAATTAAAGAACAATAGAACAAATATAATTAAAAGAGCCCAGATAGTCAAATAGGACTAAAATATAGTAAAATTGAGATATACATTTGTTTTATTCTGCACGTATTTGCGTACATATAATAACGTTTAAATTGTGTATTTAAATAATTAAGGCTCATAAATCAATATTAATGATATTCCGTACAATGTCCTGCCGGCAGTACGAAAAGTTCTCCGGATCCTACAAAATTTCACATGAATTACGAGTACTTTCTATCCTTCCAGCAGGACTTTAAATAAAACCATTGGAATAAGCTGTATTTTTTTGTTCGCATTTGGAGTACCAAGATTTTTTTTTAATATTTAGGTATATAATGTATTAATGCATTGTTTTCAAATAAAGTATATTTTGCAATGTTTCGTATTTTTAGTTTTACGCATTAAGGTATTCGTCCTTCCAGTAGCAGGGAGTACTGTTGGAAGGAGAGAATTTACGAAACTCCCGGGCGCGCTTGTCCTTCTAACAGAACGCAAGTGTCTGTTCAGAAGTACTTCCGGAAGCGCTTCCAGCAGAACTTTTGGTTGTACGAACTATCATTAAGCCAATTTTAACTTTTTGTTAATATTAAAGAAATATATAATATATATTTATATTTGATAACCTAACGCAAAAATTTTGTTATAATTGGGATATGTGAACTAAGTTTCTATTAACAGTTTAAAAATTAATGAATAGTGTTGGAATTACTATTTTTTTACGTAAAAAATGTATGTTTTTTAAACGTAAATTATATGCATAAGATATGAGTATTTGCAATAATAAAGCTACTTATATACACAAAACAATGCAATAATAACCTGTTAAATACTACAAAATAATGTTAATATTGAGTATCATATCCCTACAAATGGCTAAATATTGAGATAAAGCAAGAGACTGCTGATTGGCTTGAATTAAGTTTGATACTTTATAATTCTAAAATAAACAATAATTGTGTATTTTAATATACTTGCTTAGTTTTTAAAGAGTTGTTGTCCAATTACCTTTTACTGATGCTATTCCAGGTATGGTAGCCATAAAACGTAAAATAACAGAAAAAAGATTGTCCGAAAATTTATCAGATTTAAGCGATTCTGAAAATTCCGAAGAAAACAATGAAGAACAGGAAAAGGATTTTGAAAAACAAAAGGACGATTTCAGCAATAAAGATTTAAATACTGATTTAAAAAAACAAAATTTAAAAGAAGACGAAAACAATACTTCGAGACCTTAACAATCTTTTAACATATCATTATAATCATTACATTCATATACATTACATTATATATTCCGTGTTGTCGGTTTTTGGTTCCATTTTTTTGAACCGTATGTCTGACGACGTTTCGGTACAATCTCATGTACCATCTTCAGGTCTTATCTGCTGATAACAGCAATAACAGCCCAGCAGATAAGACCTGAAGATGGTACATGAGATTGTACCGAAACGTCGTCAGACATACGGTTGTTTTAAGAACCAAAAACCGACAAGACGGACCAGATCCAGGAAAACCATTTATACATATATATATAAATATATATATATATATATATATTGATTTTTTTCGGGATCTGCTTCTTGGTTGTTAAAAGAACCGTAGACCTGAAGCCTATAAAACCTGAAGATGGTACATGAGATTGTACCGAAACGTCGTCAGACATACGGTTCCAATAAGAACCAAAAACCGACAACACGGAGCAGATCCCGGAAAACCATCAATACGTATAATCCCTTGGAAACCTAAAGCAGAACATATATATATATATATATATATATATATATATATGTTAAATTGTTTATTAGGTTGAAATTTGAAGGTTTATTCACGTGTAATTTCTGTCTTGTTATAAAAAATTAAGTAGTTTTAACTTGGATTTAAAAGAATATTTTGTGATAGTTGTAAATGTAAAAGTTTCTAGTTAGTGTAGACTAAGTATAGAAGCAAAAAGTGAATTAATATTAACAATATTTGATTTCTTTTGAAAGTAAAGCAATCGGAATTTACTACAAAAATCATTTAAAACTCTAATAAAAACAATTGAGTGTTTCGTTAAATTTATGAAAAATAAAAATTCAGCCCGAAGCTGAAATCGAACTCGCGTCGAGCGCGGTGCAGATTTGAATTTTCCAAATTCTCAAGTAATTTATTTAAATATAGTACATTAAAAATTTTGTAATTGGCCTAACTATGGTATAAA